CAGGGCTTCCGAAGAATGAAAACCCAAAGGTAAAGATTCGTAAGTACGAATCTTTACTTTATAATTTTTTTTTTAATTTTATTAATGAACGGTTACTAATAACCGTTCTTTTCTTTTTTTATAGGTTCGGGTGGACTTCTGAAGAATGGAAAAAGGAGAACCTTTAAGATTCGTAAGTAATATACTTACGAATCTTTTTTTTAATGTTATGGAACGGTTACTAACCGTTCCTTTGATTTTTTTTTTATAGGTTCGGGTGGATTTCCGTCTTTCCAAGGAACAGAAAAAACTAAAGATTCAGTATAAATCTTTATTTTTTTATTTTTGTTTATTATTACGAGCGGTTTCTAACCGTTCTTTTTCTTTTTTTTTTAGGTCAGTGTCTTCTGAAGAATGGAAAAAACCAAGATTCGTAAGTACGAATCTTGGTTTTATTTTATTTTTTTTTATAATATTAACGAACGGTTACTGATAACTGGTCTTATTTTATTTTTTTAGTTCAGTGGGCTTCCGAAGAACAACCGAAAACCAAGATTCGTAAGTAAGTACGAATCTTGGTTCTTTTTTTTATTTTTTATTTTTATTTTTTATTACTATGAACAGTTTACTAATAACCGTTCTTTTCTTTTTGTAGGTTTCGGGATCTTTAGAAAAAGTGGAACCAAGATTCATAAGTACGAGTACGAATCTTGGTTTATTTTTTATTTTTTTTAATATTATTATGAACGGTTATTAATAACCGCTCTTTTTTTTTCTTTTTATAGGTTTGGTGTCTCTAGTGGATTCTGATAAACAGAAAAAACCAAAGATTCGTAAGTAGAATCTTGGTTTTTTTTGCTTTTTTTTAATATTATGGAACGGTTACTAACCGTTCTTTTCTTTTTTTTATAGTTTTGGTGGGTTTCCAAAAGATCAAGATTCGTAAGTATATACGAATACATGAATAATGTGATTGTGGAATTGTAGATTAGCAATACTTATTTGTAATATGCATTTATAAATAAAGTTGTGATTTTATTGCGAATATCAAATAAAATGAGTTGTGGCTGAATATTAGTAAATAAATTTAGTACAAATTTGCAATATAAATTAAGTAACATTCGGAAAACTATTCACCAAAATTTGCTATCTGAAATTGTTCTGAATGTTAACTGAATTTTGGCTGAAATTTCAAGCTGAACTTTAGGCGAGTGGTAGCGAATTGCAGCCAAAAAATCTGCTAAAGTTCGACTAGCATTAGACCATAAATCAGCCTAAAATCGGCTGGCTGAATTTTGGCTGATTTGGACTATTTTGACCAGTGAATATTATTCACAATTCTCAATTTAAACCTATCCATGTGGTAAAAAATATCTGAAGATTCCAATCATGGAGAAAATGTCTTCCTCTTCTACCAATAATAACAAAGTCTATTAAAATTTCACCAAAAAAAACTCCATCAACCTCACGAGGATCAGAACTTTCGTATGCTAATGAAGCATATGTATTTTGGACCCAGCATTACCGTATATAGCGGGCCACAGTACCCCGGGTATCTTGCAAAAATCGGGGTTTGACCCTGTACCCTCAGGTACTAAACAAAGCCTAAAAATTCCATTTTTTGCGAATATCTCACGATCTACCAGTCCAATTTGAACGATCATTTTTTATTTTGAAGAGCTTAATGAGAGCTATCAAACAAAAAAATGATGGCTCAAATCTGATCACTAGATCACGAGATAATTGTAAAATATCCCCAGGTACTATACAATTCTATGAAATTTTTCAAGGGGGTACTATGCATAGGGGGGTACTATGGCCCGCGATATTTGGTAATTCTGAAGAAAAATCAGAATTTTGGCATGAAAATTTATGGGGGAATTCCCACTTTTTGGACAACATGAAATATTAATATCAGAAGGTTATAAAATAATACACTTTGATACAATTATAATTTATTATCATTTATAATATTTATTAAAGTTATTTTTAATAAATAGTATTGTACTGATCTGGTGATTTTATTTACTATCATGATAATAATGGTCAAAAAAAACTTGGAAAATTAAGATCAATTTTAAAAAATGATGATGGATATTATCAGTTACGAATTCAAAAAATTTTGGAATATAGTGATTTACCCAGAAATTTAAAAGGGTTATTAAGACAACGTCGTTCTATTACTGGTTAAGTATGGTTACAAGACGAACCATTTTTAATTATAATGACTTCTCAAATTTTAGAAAAAGTAACTATATTGATGATGTTTCAACATTAAAATATTCCTGATGGTTCATTGCGGATTAGTGAAATAATTTATAAATGTAATGACCGTTGGCACGTTTGTAATATAAAGCTTTCATACCTACATCCATCTGATTACATTTCTATCAGAAATCCACCATCATCATCTATGCCAGTCTATAAGCTGTTTTTAGATCTTTATTATGATGATTTTGGTACATTTTGAAATGTATACCATTCTCTAGGTGGTGTTTATGTACAGTTTGGAAATATGCCAGCACATCAAAAAAAGCTAATAAAGAACTATTTGTTATTGGGTTTATCCCATTTAGAGGAAAATTTGACGAATTTATGATACCATTCATTTCAGAAATGAAGGAATTAGAGAAAGGAAAGGTGATGACTGTTCAAGGACAAGATACATGGATAATTGCTGGTTTAGGTGTTGTTACGGCAGATTTACCTCAAGGTAACGATATGACAGGAGTACTAAGGTATTTTTTCAACTTAGTTAATAATATAATAATATAATTTTATGACAACTATTAAAATTTTTTAAAAAATAAATTTAGACATAATGCAAATAATGGTTGTCGTACTTGTAAAACTACTAAAGAATCATTGAGTGCTCACAATCAGGATATCGTAACAACATTACGTTATCATCATATTACAGATGAAGAAATCTTAAAAATTTCTCATGAGACTATAATTTCAAGAAGAGATCAACTTTGTACGGAATATAGTTTACCATCATTACCTAGTATTTTAGATAAATTAAAAAAAAAAAGACATTTACAGATGCCGCAGGATGTTTATCATGCGACTGCAGGAAAGATTGGGCGGCTACTAAAATTAACTTGTGAATTATTTTCACGAGAAGAAGAAGATAATTTTATCGAAATTTGGAAAAATTTTGAAATCCCAAAAAGTTGGTCTCGCTTACCAAATCCGATTACTCACTACAATAGTTTTATGATGTCAGATTTACTTAGATTAGCTATGATTATGCCATTTTTGCTAAACCAGTTTTTAAAAGAATCAAGTATCAAACGTAATTAAACAGCCATGATTCAACAAAGAATTGATGCATTTCGAGTTAGTTCAGTTTCAAAAATTATTATATCTTGTTGGATACATGTTGCAAAAATTATGAAAGCGATTTTTAACAAGAAATTTACATCAGATAGCTATGAGGAATTGCAACAATGTCTTGAAGAAGAGTTTTCAATCCTTCCAAAGGTATAGTAGTTACAAATTTGATATTGAAATGTAGAATAATTTCAAATAATTAACAATATTTTACTTTTTATAGGTTTTTGTAAATTTTGTTAATTTACTAAACATACACGTTAATATGATGCATGCTAAAACACTTATTAATACCCAAGTTGATATAAATGAAATGGTCTATCGTATTTTTAAGAGGATGGTACCAAAGACTAATTGCAAAAACATAGATTTGGATTTATTAAAGCGTTACAATACTTTATTTGCAATTCGACATTTAGCAGATGGTGGTATTAATCCAAGATTTAATAGATCTTGTACTGGATTTACAAATTCAAATTTTGGACAATTATTTTTAAATTGGTATATTACAGAAGATAAATATTCAACAGAAACAACTGAACAAGTTCAAGACGACGATGATGATACAAAAAGTAAATATTTTATTGCATATAGTAGTACATGTTTGATATTTATATTTACTAATCTTTTAATTTAGTTATATCTCCAGTAAACTTTATTTCCAATATTTCATTAAAAAAAAGAATG